CAAGGTCAGGTTGGACGGGGCTCTGAGCAACCTGATCTAGCTGAAGATGTCCCTGCCCACGGCAGGGGGGTTGGACTAGATGACCTTTAAAGGTCCCTTCCAACCCAAACTATTCTATGATTCTGAATCACGGAAATCCTTGAAGAGAAGAACAGTCTCTCAGAAAAGCAGACAGGAAGGATTACCTTCATTATCACAAAGGCAAAGCAGCAGTGATTAATCTACTATACAAATAAGGCACAGATTATTTTAGAAAAGGATGAAGTCCGGGACACTGCTATATCCCAAACACATTACTTCGTTTTTTCAGTAATTAACCTTTAGGCAATCATTTTCATGTGAATGTATGTCTACTCAATGGCATCACAGCAGCACAGAAGATGTGCAAGAGCCACGAACTTCTAAAGGCCAAGTGTAAGAAGAGAGAATTTACGTAACTAGATGAAAAAACAGTGGGGTGTACGTTCTGAAATTAAAGCGAAGTGCACTGGCAAGAGACCACCCACAGTTATGTTCTGTGCACTTTTGTAAACTATCAGTCAGACACATCTTACCAACTACTACACTGAGATCAAGTGGCGCAGTCAATTAAACGAGGTACAACTTAACCCCACAGACTGGTCATCCACTAGCACAGTTAAAGCTGCGCCTGAATCGCAGACTGGAAACAAACCCTTCATGGAAGAACATCCAAGTATTATCACTACAGCCACAAGACACAATTTCAGATGAGGGTTAAAGTTTCTATGTGCCATGAGAACTTGGCATTTTTTGGCAAGCGTTTTCAAGCTTTACAAGCATCAGATATCTAAAGCAAAGAAATATCAAAACCTAAACTTTAGCTATTATTAATCCCAAGTCTACAGAGAACTTATTTCACACAGCCATGAGTATTTGCTATTTGTACAACAATTACAAAAGGAAAAAAATGTTTCTGAAGCTTTTAATTTCCTAACAAACATTTGTATTTTATTTAATATACAAAATATTTGATGAAATTGAAGAGGTTCTAGATGTGACTGTTTATTAGTCTTTCAATCTTTTTAGGATGCAAAATCATCAACATTCTTAGTAATCTTTGTGTTCAGCAACAGCAGTACAAATTATCTTAATTTCATGAAGTCTTGCACTGAACAGCTTGAAGTAGAATGATCAACAAATGGCAACAGCAGCACTTCCAATCCTGCAACACTCCATATATTCATGAAAAGTCTAGTAAGTATGTAAATTACAATACAGCTATCATTTAAATACTTGCAGATGTTTGCAGACAAATGACTGTTTCATGCACATAAAGAGTACGGTTCTACGCAGCCGTTCTCGAGTCTGTGGTCCATGAACCATGTTAAGCTGTAAGGTACATGAACTTGTTATCGAACAGTGTAATTAGTATACTGCAAGAAATTTTAAAGGGTGACAGCAATCGACTGATCCAAAGAGTAGCTGCAGAAATCAAGACTCCAGAACTCCATTTGTTAATTTCTCCTCTTTTTCGACCTCCATGTTTCATCAATAAACTAGATATATTTCCTACCTGCATCTCCTAATAAGCCAAAATGTTGAACTACATAGCATATTATACCCTAAGGTAAAATTGGCTGGTTTGGGAACCAGCTGTGTCTTTCATAAAGCATAGACTAAGAGCACAGAATCAGCTTGTCAAAAAGTGTCTGGAATACACTGAACTGGATTCCTTTTAGATGAAGCTAAAGCAGAAGACGCACTTTAATAAAAAAGGGCTTTCAGATCAGAGGACTAAGCTGCTGCTGTAAAGTAAAAACCCAAAGGAGACAAACACAGCATGAAAGCTGGGTCCTCAGCACTCTACAGATCTCCTTTTACCACACTGCACCTCTTGATCAGGTAGATACAGGCAATGGATCCCATTACCAGGACACTTTTTCCCCCAGTTGTTTTGTTTTACCCTGTTTACAGGACCCCATTATACCAGTCTGAAAGTGAAACGAGCGTAATCTTTTCATACTGAACTGCATTAGGCACTATTAGTCAAAAGCTGAAGATTCAATCTCTCCCAG